CGGTTGGACCGAGCGGGCCCAACAAGGAGTACCTGTACCATCTGGCAGATGCGTTACATGCGCTGGGCAAGCCGGACCCGCACATCCAGGATCTGACTGCGCTGGTGCGCGCACTCGATCGCCCCAACTGACTATAAAACCCGCCATATAAACAGCCTCTGGCAAGCATGTCTGGGATGAGATGTGGAAATACATTAGAAGCAAACAAAGAAGAGGAGCGTGTATGAGCGATCGGCTGGCACAATCACTCGTCGTCCTCGTCCTCGTCGTCCTCGTCATCTTCGTCATCATCCAGACCGTCGCCGTCTGCACCCTCGTCTTCGTCGGACAGGAACCAGTCCTCGTCCTCATCATCGCCGCCCTTGGCAGCCGACAGCATCTTGGCGTGAACGAGCACCTTCTCGGCACCCTCCTCGTCGCCGCGAGCCAGCTTGCGCAGGTACGATCTCCGCTGGCGTTCAGAGAGCTTCTCGACCATGTTCTCGCGCTCTGCGGCGGCCTTGAGGACCTCGGGGTCCTTGGCTCTGGCCTCCTCCGACTGGACAATCTCGTGCGACTCCTCGCACTTTGCGCAGCAGTTCTTGGCCTCGGCGCACTTTTTGCAGATGACGTGGTAGGCATCAACGACGGTTCTGTTCTGGCATCGCAGGCTGGCAGCAGCAGCAGCGGCGGCGTCAGTGACGGCAGCAGCAGCAGCAGCAGCAGCAGCAGCGGCATGGATGAATGTGCGTCAGTGGATTGATTGCCAGCCAGCCGTGATCCCGTTGGACGCTGGCCGTGTTGCCGCAGACACCGCACATGGCGAGGCCATACACGCAATCACTCACCAGGTCTTGGGCTGGCTGAGCGGCTTGTACTTGCCCATGCGCTTGCGCCAGTTGATGATGTCGAGGCAGCGCTGGCAGACGCCCTGCACTGGCCGGGCAGCGATTTTGAGCGCAACCGGCGAGAACTTGTTGGGTGTGAACGCCGTGCGGTTCTGGTACTTTTGGCGCCCCTTTTGCGCTCCGGCCTTGCCCTTGGACGACGAGATTCTGTCTGGCATCTTGTCTGCTCTGTCGCACGCATGCATGTATCGTCAGCCAGCTGCCCGTCTGGCCCGCCCGTCTGCTCGTCCATGCCAGGCTCAGTGGAGCATCGCTCACAAGCTTGCCGCAATGTTTGGCAAGAAAAGAAAAAACGTTTCGGACGGTCGAGGTGCTGTGGCTGGCGGGCATGGCATCTGTGCTCTGATGTGTGCAGACTATTGGGGTGATAGTCCTAGTGGCAGCCGGCGATCAGGACGATGCACGTCATCGTCAAGCCACGATTGCCGTGATAAATGGCCAGAATCAACCATAACAATAACAAATGTTTGTGTATTGAATTGGCGAAAAACGGGACAAGGAGGGATGCAGGGGTAGTATAGTGGTAGTACGTCACGTTGTGGCCGTGTTGGCGGCGGTTCGATTCCGCCCCTCTGCACCATCTTTTTCGACTTTTTTGCTTAGTGCCATCTGTACAGTCGGTCGATGCAAGCGGTGCTCGCCATTTTTGCTGGATACACATGGCCCTGTGTACTGCTTCGGGCAATGGACGCAAAGCGCCTGGCGACGATGGCATCCCTGCGTCGCTCTACAAGGCGTTTGACGCAAAGATCCCACCGGAGCTCCAGGGCCAGCGGTCGGCAGCGGCCGGCATCTCGGGAGCAGCACAGGGGCTGATGCGTGTGTGCAACACCATCTTCGAGGACGCAGTCATTCCAAAGGCCTGGCAGTCGGCGTCCATCGTCTCGCTGCCAAAGAAGGGCGATCTGAGCGATCCGTCCAACCACCGTGGTATCTCGCTAATCAATGTCGGCTTGAAAGTGCTGTGCGGTTCAACTCACTCGTCAATGGTTGCGACCTCACAACGCACGAGCAATCGCGTCTTCATTTCAACAGCTACTCTTGGCGATCCATCCATCACCTGCTTGTTGCTTGAAGTTTCTGGATGGTCGACTCGAGCCGCTTGATGGTGGTGACCTTGGTGGCAGTTCTTTGGTTTGCTTCTGCGAGTAGCGCCTGTGCCTGGTCCATTGTGAGGCTGCCAAGCATAACATCGGCGATGGCGGCATTCTTGGCATGATTGAGTGCATCGAGCTCAACTGGATAACCGCAATACATCAAGTACAGCAGCGTCTTGGTGTTGCTCCACATGGCCGCTTGCTTAACAACATCGCTTGATGCGCGGCTGCCTGCCGAGTGCATGTACTTGGCGACGTCCACGTGTCCCGAGCGGATGGCGGCATCCAGCGCGGCTGGCGAACACTCTAAACCGCAGGTCTCGTGGAGCCACTTGACAACGTGTAGACGGCCGTTTCCAGCCGCACTATCCATCGCACGAGTCGTGCATCCCTCCGTCCTGTTCTCATGCAGCCACTTGACGACATGCAGATGGCCGTAGCTAGCCGCCCAGTCCATCGCAGCAGTCGTGCATCCTTCCGCCCTGTTCTCGTGGAGCCAGATGACGACATGCAGGTGGCCGTTGTTTGCCGCCTGATTCATCGCAGCAGTCGTGCATCCTTCCGTCCTGTTCTCGTGCAACCATTTGACGACATGCAGATGACCGTTTTCGGCTGCCTTGTCCATCGCCCACTCCGTGCATCCTTCCGTCCTGTTGACATGCAGCCACTGGACGACATGCAGATGACCGTTGACAGCCGCGTAATCCATTGCAGCAGTCGTGCACCCTGCCGTCGTGTTCTCGTGCAGCCATTTGACAACGTGCAGATGGCCGTTGCCAGCCGCCCAGTCCATCGCCATCTTCGTGCATCCCGTCACACCGCGACCAAACAGGTACTGCACAACATCGAGATGTCCAAAGCGCGCAGCTTGGTCGACGGCTTCGTGCCAGTACGAGCTCGTCAGCTCGTGCCTGGTCATCCAGTCTTTGAGCGTGCTGTACTTGTCATCGAGATGCTTGAGCAGATCGAGGCATCCAAACCGGATGGCCATGCGAGCGAGTATGATTGGATACGTAAAGTCCACCAGGTCGAACCAGCCGTGCCGCATGGGAATGAGAAGCAGCCTACGGCTGTCAAAGTAGGCGTAGTCGAACGGATAGTCGTAGTTGTTGATGTCGGCGTCCTCTGTCGCACAATAGGGCTCGGTGTGCTTCGGAAAGCGCTTGCAGAGGCGGTCGTACATGGAGCGAGAGTGTGCGAGCAGCAGTCCGTTGTCGGCCGTCAGGTCGGCAAGAGGCAGCAGATCCAGATCGCCCTGCCAGTCCATCTTGAACGCTTCGATCCACAGCTCCAGCTTGGTCGCTTCGTCGAGTGTGTCCGTGTCGCCGAGCAGGCCGCACAGGAAGCGAGTGAGCGGACCGGCGTGCTTGAGGATCAAGGCGTGGATCTCGGCTGGCTTGCCGTCCCAGTGGCTGCTGCCGAACGCAAGGTCGCCGGCGGCTGGCGGCACCACATAGCGAGGCACACCTGGCTGTCCTGGCTCGACGGCTTGGCTGCCGCTCGCTCCAACGACCTGCTTGAGCACAGCCAGCACCATGTCGGTGCGGCCAAGGGCAACCAGCTGCTCGGCTGTGCTCTGCAGCTGGCTCTGCAGACGGCGCACTTGCTCGTCGCTGGCTGCAGCAGCAGCTGCTGCTGCGTCTGCGTTGTCTGCCGTCTGTCGCTCTGCTTGCATCGTCACAGCCGCTTGCTTGCTTTGTGGCTGTGAGGACAAGATCCACGAACGAGAATGTGGGACATGCACCGACACGACATGTCATGGTGCACAGTATGGCGTGCTCTGCGAGAACTTGGAATGAAGCATTCCTGCTCATACAAAGGCAAGACCATAACAGCCAGATGCTGTCCATTGCCAAGTCCACAGCCGCAAGTGGCGAGTGACGTCATCCACTTTGACAAGCCATGCCAGCAGCGCAGTCGACAGTTTTCCTATACATCGCCAGAGACAGACAGAGAATGTCGACCAGCTCAGCTTTCGTCGCGGCGCACAGCTTTGACGCGCTTGCCGCTGCCAGTCTGGTGGCCCTTGCTATGGCGAGGGATGCTTGCCGTCTGTCTGCACTGACCCACGCGCGGCGCATCTAGAACAATCATGCCACCCCAAATGACAGCCTCGACATTGCTGCCTTTGAGCAGCTCCTCAAGGGCAAGGCTGTGGGTCGACGAACAGACTCGGCCGTCGAAATTGGCATCGCGACAGCTGGAACGGCTGTTCGCTCGGCGCTGTTGGTCGAGCTTCTCAAGACAGACGAGGAGCGCCTCCAGTCGCGTAACAATCTACTCGACCGCCTTCTGCAGCCGGCAGTAGATACTGCCTTCGCGCAGTTCCATGCGCAAGAACACGCCAAGGGCGAACATACGGGCATCTATGTTCTAAAGGTCGATGTGAAAGCAGCGAAAGACAAGGACTAAGATGCAGATGACGAACAGTCGGCCATCTCATCTGAGACCGAGTCCAGGCAAAGCGCGAGGAGCTTGCCTTGTCACTTCATGTCTGCCGCCAGAGTCTTGAGACGGACAGGCAGGACAACCTGGCCCGTATACACAAACGCCAGGCAGAGATTGGCTCTCTGATTGCTGCACTTGGCAATGGCTTGACGGACGGCGGTCTCCACGCTGAGTTAATCAGGCTGGGCTCCCATAGCATCTGCTATGCAAAGCAGCCCTGCCTTTACTTCCCGCCAGAGTCCTCATTATGCATGCATTAGAGGTTCAACATGGATGCCACGTCACATGCATTCATGTGCCACTCGCGCGGCATCACTCTTGACATTTATGCTGCTGTGGTGAGCAGGCACAGGCGGCAGGAGCACCAGGCAGAATCCACTGCTCTCTGATGCCAACCTTCAGTTGCATTGTAACTGATGCCAGTCCAAGGCCGCTGTGGTGGCAGCCGGCGATCAGGGCGATGCACGTCATCGTCAAGCCACGATTGCCGTAATAAATGGCCAGAATCAACCATAACAATAACAAATGTTTGTGTATTGAATTGGCGAAAAACGGGACAAGGAGGGATGCAGGGGTAGTATAGTGGTAGTACGTCACGTTGTGGCCGTGTTGGCGGCGGTTCGATTCCGCCCCTCTGCACCATCTTTTTCGACTTTTTTGCTTTGTGCCATTCAGACAGTCTGACGATGCAAGCGGCGCTTGTTCAGCAGCCGCTTGTCTTTTTGCTGGATGCGCACGGCCTTGTGCACTGCATCGGGCTCTTCTGCTGGTTCAGCAGATATGGAGAGCCGCAACCACCTAGAATAACCTTCATTCAATGCTCGCACAGGTCGAACACATCAATATTGTGGTCTCGATCCTCGTCGATGCGCGACCGCTCGGCCATCAGCGCGTCGCGCACGTCCAGCGCCTCTTGCCTGCCCATCACGCCGCCGACAAACGGCGCAATCATCGTGCCAAGCTCCGCCGGCAGTCCCGTCCCACTCACGCCTGCCACGTACCACTCGGGCTGCTGTGGCGCCACGTGCGCTGTCGACACCACCGCCTTGCGCGGATCCACAAGAAAGAACGCGAGGATCTTGCGGTGTCCCGGCTTGGACGCATCCGCCAGCTCAAACGGCTCCACGTGGTGCTGCCAGCTGTTGGGGAACGCAATGCACCGCCCTGTAGCGGCCTCGATCGATCCGAGGTTGTACACTGCCTTGACCTCACTGCCCTGGAAGCCGTACAGCTCTTGAAAATAGTCGTGGTCATACTGCGAGTACGATAGGTCGAGTGAGTCGCCCGAGTACTGTGCACGGAACGACAGCTTCGACGCAGTGATGTTGGCCATGTCGTAGTAGTAGATGCCCGTGGCCACAATCGACTCGTTTTCCGTGCCCTCAATGTGCCAGCTGCCGCCGCCGTACTTGGGTTTTCCGGCGTCAGGTGGATGCTCGCGAGCTTGACAATCACCTGCAGGTTGCGGCCGCGCAGGCTGACGGGTGCAAACGGCGTCTCGGGCGGCGTGAACTCGGTCGGCAGGCGTGGTTGGAGGAACCGATTCGGACGGGGAGCTGCCGGTTCGTCATCCTCGTCCTCCTCTTCATCGTCATCGTCATCGTCATCCTCCTCTTCATCGTCCTCGTCCTCTTCCTCGTCCTCTTCCTCTTCCTCTTCATCGTCCTCGTCCTCTTCATCGCCCTCTTCATCGTTGTCGTTGTCGTCCTCAGTGCCACGGTACTCCATGATGATCTGACGCGCATGCTTGTATCCTGCATCGTCATCGTCACTCGGAAGGACACCAATGTGGCTCATCAGTTTCAAGTGTTGCTGCTGCTTGAGGTACATCTCGTCGTGCGGCTCAGTGATGTACGCTGGGATGCCGTCGCTGTGTCCAAACAGACTCTCAAACAGCGGCACGAACCGCTCAAACACCTTGGCGATGGTCTTGTAGAGCGAGTTGTGCCAGATCGGGTGCAGGTTGTTGATGTACGAGGCAATGCCCACGGTGCCGTCGTCGTGGACGCGGAACTCGGACGGCAGCCACTGGAACCGCTGCGAGATGAACTGGGGCCGGGACTCAAAGACGGGCTGGCCGGACACGCGCTCGCTCGCAGACACCACGTCCCATGGCGGCGTCGATGTCGTCTTGACACGGTCGCTGCGGGACAGAACCAGGCTGCGGCCGTACACGAGCGGGTACAGGGATGGATGCACGAGGTCAAGCACCTTGCCGTCCGATCCTGGATGCCAGTCCTTCTTGCGGTCGGGAACGTCCTCGAGCACAGCGACTTGGCGGACGAGCGCATCTCGCAGTGTGGCGGGCACGGCATCGTCCGACACGGTCGTGCACTTGGCGGCACCAGGCGTGACAGTCACCACGTCGCCGCTCGCAAGCTCGACAGTGCGCACCTCGTGCTCGGCCAGGTATGCCAGCTCGCTGAACAGCAGGCTCAGTGCGCGCTGGGAGACGCCCTGTGCAACAGCCTCCTCGCGCCACTTGGCTGCAATGCCAGGATCCGTAAACTTGGTCCACCAGAGCGGCTTGGAGAGGATCGCACCAAGCAGTCCCAGATACTGGCGCTCCTTGACGGTCAGTCGCGGCTGCTCCATCTCGGGGATCAGCACACCGGGAAGATCAGCGTTGTCCTCGTTGGGCAAGATGGACGTGTCGCCTGTCATTACCACGTCCGGGAAATACGTGTGCACAAGTCGGTTGGCGGCGTTTGCTGCATGCGCTGGCGTGTCAACATCGCTAGCCAGCCCAATCAACAGCGCCGGAAACCCAACGTCTGCCATTTGCTCGAGGGCGACATTGACGGCCTCGCACTTGTACCGCTGCAGCATCTTGTCGAGAAGGTCGATGTATTCGGCCGGGTTGGACGTATTGTGTCGCAGCTGACTGAACGCCGCTTGTATGAGTCCATGTCGCATGTACGCATCGACCACCACGTCATCCGTGAAATCGGTCGTGTACTGCAGAACCGAATAGACACTCTCGAAAGCACTTGCAGCAATGGTCTCGTTCGTGTGAGCGATACCCGCAACCAGCTTGGCCATGACAGGGGAGTCAAAGATAAGAAGCGAGCGGATCTCGGTGCACCGCGCCATGTATCCCATGATACCGGCGACGGCAGTGAAAATGTCTGGCGCAGTGCTCTGCTCGGACGTCTCGAGCGCCGTGTTCAGCGTATCCAGGATACCGCAGTCGAGCGCGTGCCTGTAAAAGTACTCAAGACCAAAACTGCTGAAAATGGACTGCAGACCCTTGACCATCGTCGTCAAGTGCGTCACATCTGTGGTTGCTCTGTTTACAAGGGGTTAGTCGAGTGTGGGATGCGGGGCTGCTTTGGCGCATAGGGCACACACCTCATACGCGCGAGCATGGCGTGCATGACACGGCTGTTGATGATGTCGTCGCCTGAATGGTTGAGACGCGCCATGCATCCGCAGGCAGCAGCAGCGACCTCGTCGTCCTCTGACGCGATCTTGGGTCGCACGGCTTCGAGCAGATGTCCTGCGCTTTCCTGCACCCCGACCACCGCAAAACAAGGGGGATCAGTCTGCACGTCTCAGCAGTTTGGCGGGGACGCTTCAACTGACGAGATCGAGGTTCATGTATGTGGAGAGCATCGAGTTCCTGACGGCGTTGAGCACGGACACGAGGACCGTCCGATCAGTCTCTTTCTCGATCGCCGATGCGAGCTGCGCCGAGTAGTCCAGCACCCATGGGAGCCACGACCGATTCATGCTCAACATCGGCCCCATCACTTCCGCAGCCTTGCCGAGTTCATGGTCAGCATTGCAGTGCCCGGCAACGGCACACGGCGGAGGCGAGCGCAGATACCTTGAGTTTGGTGTCGTAGTGATTGCTGGAAAGCATCGAGATGACCATGCCAGGCACATGCTCGTCGCCAAAGGCGTTGTCGCCCTCGGCGTCCAGATCGACAATCAGCGCCAGCCGTGGCACGGCGTCCAGGGCAGCCAGCTGTCGCCAGTCGGTCAATACGGCGGCGGTCTCCACAACAGCAACAACAACAACAGCAGAGAAGCGAGCGGACCTTGACGGGACGAGCAGGGTGCAGTAAGGCGCTGGGCAGTGCCTTTTTGAGCAGGCCGGCTTGGATGTACACCAGCGTCCTGTCGTTTTCGCTGTACATGACCGACGCTGTGGCCGTGACGGCTGTGGGTCAGCTGTGCACCGCTGGATCGGGGACAGTCTGAGGGACAGGCAGGCCGATGCGAGACTCACGCAGTCGGGCAAGCAGCGTCGACCATGCGGCCACAGCGTCTGCAACCGCAGCATCCGTGAACGTTGCTGGCGAGCCGTCGCTTGCCTCGGTCGCTGCCTGTGGCGTCAGCCTGCCCACCAAGGCGATGACGTCATCCATCGCAGTCGGCATCGCAAGACCGGGAAAGCCACATTGTCAATGTGCATTTATTGGTCGTGTTCCGATGCACTCCTGTTGCCAACACCAAGCCCACTGGCTCACCCGCCTGCGGCTGGGCATGCTTGATTGCCAGTGCGCAGCGCACTCTAAACGCACACAGCCACTGCTCACGCCTTGCCGAGCGGCACGACAGCCGCCAAATTGTTGTTGGAAAACGACTTGAGTTCGTGCTGGTTGGACAGTGTCTGGTTGGACAGTGTCTGGTTGGACAGCGTCCGGCTGTGTGTCTGCGTCGCCGTGCGGCTGTCCCCGGACGAGCCTCGTCTAAACTGGGCCGCAATCTGCTCAAACAGAACCGTTTCTCCAACCTGCAGGTTCGGGAAGGACGGTCCAGAGGAACACGCGTTAGTGCACGACCAGTGACACTGACAGCTTGGATGCAGACGCACCATGTGGAAGCCAACAATGGCAAGACCGATCTGGTGCAGCGAGTAGTGCGTGCGGCTCGCACTGGTGCCGGTAGGGCCATTGACACCAAACGCAATCACAAAGCTCGTCAGCGACAGCAGGTCGACGGCAAACATGGCTAGGGTCAACAGCTGGATGGTGCGACCGCCGGAAATCTTTTGGCCTGTGCCCGACCCCGAGCCTGTGCCCGAGACCGTGCCCGAGTCGATCGAGTGCAGCCGCGCGATATGCTCTTGCACACGCTTGAGAATGAACAGGTTCTGCACGATGCCCCAGAGGCTGACAACGGACGTGTAGAAGGCCGAGCCGACGCCGGCGTACTTGCTGAGAACGTGTTTGTTGTCGTGTGGGTACAGGATACCCTCGCCAAGGATCGGGAAGCAGGTGCTGTCGGATGGGATGAGGGCGTGAGTCGCACAGTGGAGGTGTGGAGGTGTGGTTGCGTGGATACGCGGCGTGGTCACGTACAGGAGCATGAAGAGGACAGCAGCAGCACGGATGTAGGGCATGTTCTGCGTGTGGAAGAAGGATGTTTGGAAGATGCCGCCGTTGAATACATTGTACACTTGGAGCTGTCCAAGGCAAGCAAGCGAGCGAGTGAGCGAGTGAGTGAGCCAGAGGAGTGCACCAATGGGTATGCATTGCCCATTGCATACCTGGAGGACTGGTGGCGATGGTAGCCAGGAATGGCGGTGGCGTTAGTCGTGGAGTCTGATGATCACACTGGCAAGGGCAAGACGTACGATTGAGGAGGCAGACGGACCAAGTGAACAGCCAGTTGCGGGCAATAAAGGCCGA